TACCCATTCATGCAGCACTCTACTAGATCTCTACAAAGCTAATTGAACAAATCATTCTAAAGAGACTAATCAGAGCTTTATCACATTCATTCATACACCGATGGGACACACATCAGAGGCAATGAGGGGTTCAGTGTATTGCCCAGGGACACTTTGGCATGTGACTGTTGGTGGATTTGAACCTCCAACTCTTGCATTGGAGGACGACTGCTCTAACCACTCAGCCACAGCCGCCCCAAGGTAGTCTCCTTGAGTCACAAGGACCCACCCCCCAAGAGAGATGTGTAATGGGCAGCTATGTGAGCGCACAGGTGTGAAGAGGCTAAATGTTTTGGCAGCATGAAGCTCGTTAGCTTGTATTAAAAAAAAATCCATAAATTAGCCGCATCATTGTATAAGCCACAATGTTCAAAGCATGTGAAAAAAGTAGCGGCTTATAGTTCGGAAATTATGGTAATATTGAAGTAGGTAAAGCGAAAGGAGCAAGGAGCAATGAAAGGTCAACAAAAGCAGGGTCAAGGATTCTTTAAAATAATAATGAAATAATAATAATTTGCTTCACAATTTAGAACTACAACCACTGCAGTAAAAATGAAGAGATACAGACAGATAAACATTCAGGTATAAGACACATGGGGTTTTTCATTTTGTCGGAGCTAAAGACCACATTAAAGCCTCAGGAGTCTCTTTGAGAGCTATACCTGTTAAGGGCTATTTTATTACATGACTTTGATGAAGAAGCAGACACACTGGAGCTGTAGTCTTCGCACTGCTTGATTTAATTTTGGCTATTTGTGTGACCCACTGCCGTCTTTATGTAATTCTGCAGACGGGAACAAAAATTGCTCCCTGTGGAATTCTGCAGGTAATATGAACTGATGATGATGGGCTACCTGCAGAGTGCCATTGAAAATACAGGAACCCCTTCCTTTCTGTATACCAATGAAATTTAAAACTTACTAGTCGCTGTGGTCACTGCAACTTGCATGAACTAGAATGTCAACGAAAGCACTTGTGCTTAAAAGAACCAGAAGTGAATCTGCTGCTAAAAGAAGTGCATCGTTTATTTTGAACAAACACCGATTCTTGGCCTGACAAAGCAAAGTGTGGTTTGAAAGTTCAATACAGCAACTTCAGCTGCCTGTAGTTTGGCAGTCACTGATGTCTTGGCAGAAACACAACTTACAGTATAGCTTCTCAGAGAACTGCATACAAGATGACTGGCTTTTAGAGCTGACATTTCGATTTTCTGAATCATAATGCTGGTGTGCTCTTAAAAAAAATCTGGATCTCCAGATTATTACCACTCCCCCTCATTTCCACTTTTGTGTTTTAAAGCCTTGTTAGGTGTATCACTTGGCTCTCCAGCAATCAAAAGAGAGTTAAGAGTTTTATTTGCCTTTGATTGGCACTGCACTAAACTATGTAATTTCTGTTACTAAACTAGACGTTGTGGAAGTAAAGGATTAATTTTAAAATGCTTGTAACTGTTAAAAATATTTAGTTCTTACATTTTGCTGCACCAGCCTACTGGCAAACATGTTCAGCCACACAGTGCCTGATAATCACTGTTTACCTCAGTGCCTTTTTAATCAAGGCTGTTTACAGGAGACGGCTGGTGGTTCAGCTCCTCTCTAGTGGCACTTTTCCTTTTCCTTCTTCTGTGCACACATTTTCTAATGTTTACCTCTAATGTACATCTGGCACAGCACATTTACAAGCTGAGAGGTAGAGGTGGACCTTTGTTTTTCAGTAAAACTACATTTTTTAAGTCTCAATGGAAGCCTTCAAAATAAAATTGTTTAGCGTATAAAAATAATTCTCGCTTTGATGCGACAAGAAATGCAAAGAGGATGATCTAATTTAAGTACAGAGCTGCTTCACTATATGTTCATCACTTTGTTTCTCTGTAAGACGCATGTGTCCTTGACTGTATAGCACATCAGTGAAACAGAGATACAGTCAGAAATGTTTAGATCAAGGTTTTAGAATAAAATGTTCCCATTTTTTATGACAATGCAGAACGCTAAGGGTGATAACAGCTCACTAACAATTTCAGAATGTAACATTTATCTGGAACATAATTTGTTTATTATTTTAAATAAAGCCTTGAGCGAGCTTGTTCTTGTTTCATTAGCTTGGTGGGGCAGCAGGTGATGGATAGTAATGTTGCCTCATAGCAGGACAGTCCTGGACTTGACATGTACGGACTGCTGTTGTTACGCCGTATTGTTTTACATTATTAGTGTTTAGCGTATATCTTAGATCTTTTATCGTACCGTTTGGCGTTCATTTAGCGTATATCTTAATGTGCTGCTGTTAGGTGTATTGTTCTTATACTACTAGTGCTTAGGATATTTTTATTTAACATTTTTCTTAGTTCATATCTTAGATCTTATTACTGTTTTTTTTTTTTTTTTACATTTTATACTTTTGTTGGCTGTAACTAACTGGGACCCTGTGTACACAATTTCGTTCCACCACATGTACCACATGTGGTGCGAATGACAAATAAAGAACCTTGAATCCTTGAATATCTTGGATTTTTATATACTGTTTCTTTTCATACTTTATTTTTTGTTGCTATTTTTGGTAGCTGGGACCCCAAGAACATAATTTTGTTCCACCTCATGTACCACATGTTATGCAAATGACAATAAACTTGAACTTGAACATACTGGCCAGTTGGCATCTCTGTGCCTTTCCTGTCCGAGTATGTGTGGGTTTTCTCATGGGACTCTGGTTTAAGACAAGGGATCCAAACCCAGAGACAATCATGTTGGGTTAATTAGTGATTCTAAATGGGCCGTGAGTGATTTTCTGACTGCTTGTTGGGATGGCTCTAAGAGAGACTAGCAACTTGTCCAGGATGTACTCCACCTCCAATCAAAATTAGGCTGGGATAAGCTCCAGAATATTGCTACCCTATTTGATTAAGCATATTTAAATAATGCAGATGTTTAGATCTTTAGGCTGTTTTTACCAGCAAAATGTAACATTAAACTATTTAAATATAAAAGTAACATAAGGGTTACACTTTGCAGCCTTTAGGTTGTTACAAAAGATAATATTATTTTGGCTGTGCATGACAGCCTGCAGAGAAATAGTGCTGTTCCAAATTTTGTTGTCAAATCATTTACATTCTTTGTCTAGTTGATCGGATTGTTTGAGGGTGAAAAGCTGAGACCTTTTTTTTTAATAGAGGCTCTTTTGTCCTTGTTGTTGCTACTTTTCAGCCAATAAATTATAAAAGTGGAAAATGCAACCCAGGTAAAGAAACTGGAGTAGAAGTTGTCTATCCCGAGATTTTGTGGCAGGATTTGTCAGACAGACATTTTCATATCAAACAAAGAAAAGCCTCTTTGTAGAAGAAGATCACCTGGACACTGAGTGCTGGTGTGAGCTTGTTGTGCTTCTATCAAGCTACAAGTTGCAAGCTTGTTTTGGGATTTTTAGTCTACACTACGTGTGTGAAATTGCTTTTTGATGAGGTGGTAGGATGAAGTTCCCTACCAATCCTTTTCTGACAGAAAGGAATGTCTGAATTGAAATCTTTGCAATTGTCGAAAATTCCCCTGCAAACAATTCTTGTTTCAAGAAAGAAAACAATACACTTGGGAAAATAATACTAAAAATGTTAAAGAAGCTTCATTTTGTGTTATTTTTCATATTTTCTGTCTGTGACTCATTTGTAGGTCTAAGTGTTTGGAAAAATCTGAATTCACACATGATGCTTCTTTCCTCACTCATAGGTATTTTCTGTGCCTACACAGAATAACTATGAAGTCAGCGACCACATGCATACATAAAATCTAATTTCACACAACTACTCAATCTACAAGTTGACTTTTCTGCGTTCCGCCAAGTTATGCAAGCCTAGCACACAATCACCTAGGGGTGAAATTTTGTCGAGGCTGTTACAGTGGCTGCTGAAGCAAGAAAACCAGCAACAATAGCTTGAATGACAGCAGTGGGGACCACTGAAATCACAGCACCTAGGGACAAGAAAAGGCCTGTCATTTCCAATGAGTGACTTTTTTTATTTAGGTTTGTTAATTATCTGTTTAGTCAACCTTTGAATTATATTATTTTAACATAATTTATTTGTGTAGTTATTAACATGGCTCCAAATCCATTTCAGTTTTTAAAAGTTTTACACATTATGTGTGTATTTGCATTCCTTGAAAGTGTTTTCATTATATACTGTTGGTGGTGCTGTTGCCATACTGTGCATATTTACACTTTTTAACACTACACCTGACTTAGGATCAGTTTAAAAATCTCTTCTGACCCCCAATGAAAACTGCACCCAGCTCTACTTGTTTTTCTTTTTACTGGTGACCAAATCACCAAGTCTTCAAGAGAACCACATGATAACAATCCCTGTAGCAACACAACTATTTATGTGCATCTTGAATCCCAGAACTTTAAAGATACCTGCACGTACAGAGCTAGTAACAGCCCTAGAGCTCAAACATTTATGATAAATGTATTCACTGGGGATTCTACAGTGAACCCAGCAGAGCTCTATCTTCATAAGTGCATCGTGCATATGCTAATGCTCCATAATATAATGACCTTCAATTGCCAAGAGCAAACTGAACCATCTTTGAATTCTGTAAAGACTTCTGGGGATAATTTCAAATGACCTAAATAATTTTCAGTCACTGAGGGTGCTATAGATATTAATCCAGTGTACTCTTAAAAGCTGAAAAAGGCCAATAAATGTGGTACTAGCTTTACAAGCTTCTAAAATGCAGAAAACTGAGAACTTTTTCTAGAGAAAAAGGTGCATTAGCACTTCAGGGTGGCATAAGTTAGGGCTTGAAATGGAAGTGAACAAGAGTCGGGATCAACCAGGGTCAAAGAAAATATTTCTAAGAAAAGACAACGAGAAGGACAAACTGCCAATGGTTCTAAGAGCGTGTTGTACATCTGCGGCTTGTTAGTGAACAGTTAACAATAACTGAAGAAGTGTATCAGAGCATGACAGTACATACCATGGAAATGTGGGTCCAGGTTGAGGTGTCGTCACTGCTCAGGCTGATGCTGACATCACACTGCTGGATCTGAGATGCACTGAGGCCCACAGCTCTGCATTCTTCTTCTTCCTGCTCTCTTTTCAGGCTAGCCAGCATTCGGAGTTCCTCATCATCATCTTCATACATCTGTGAGCTGCCATGCAGTTGTTGGACATAATGACTTGAATAAACAGTCTTCAGCATCACATCTTCTTTTTCCTTCAAACCCATAAAACAGAGAACATTTATTTGCAGATATTTGGAAGCCATCTAAAGTATTTTGTTGTTAGTTTTATTTTAAGACAATAAAGAAATAAAAACCTTAACCACAGCTCAAGATGTCAGACAGACATTAAGGTAGTGGTGGGCATGCACTAATATTCTGACCCTCTTTTAACGTTGGATCTATTGATTTAGAAAACTCTGTGGTAACTTGTCCTGATGTATGTGATGCTCAATAATCCAGATAGATGAATCTAACAAGGTTGAATCAGGTCCTCTGGACCGATCCATCTTTGTTGAAACATGTCATTTTTTATCCAAAAGATCTTCAGTCTGAGGAGCTGTTAGCAAACAGTCTTATAAGCAGCACCTTCTCATAGTGGATCAGCCAGTTTGCTGGTGAGAGCTAAAATTAGTTGTTCACATGCAAAAGCAGGACCATCAGCCTAACAATTTATCTTTAGTGCCCTGATGGCTGCTTGCTATTTACAGTGGCTGAGTGATACTAACAATAACAGCATTGTAAGAGGGGGACAGATGAACACGGAGGCCTCCGGCTCTGTTTAACGACAGGTGGGTTTTCTTCACAAAGATGGCTCCCTTTACTTCTTTCTCAAACCATCGTTCCTCTCTATCAAGGATGTGAACATCTTCACCCCTGAAAGAGTGACCACTGGCCTGGAGATGAGTGTAGACTGCAGAATCCTGGCCTGATGATGTTGCTCTTCTGTGCTGGGCCATCATTTTAGCCAGTGGCTGTTTTGTTTCCCCGATGTAAGACTGATCACAGCCCTCCTGGCACTTAACAGCATACACAATATTACTCTGTTTGTGCCGGGGGACTGGATCTTTGGGATGAAACAGTATTTACCATAATGTATTTTGGGGTTTGAAAGCCACTGAGACATCATGGTTAGAAAACAAATGTTTCAGTTTTGAGTGTCAACAGCAAACTGGTTGATCCACTGCGCGAAAGTGCTGCTTATAAGACTGAATTAGCTTGCAGTTCCTTAGACTGAAGAAATCTTTTTGATAAAAGATGAAACATTTCAATAAAGAACCCATCTGATGGACCTGACTCAACCTTGGTATGGGATTTTGCTGCCACTGTCTCTACACTCTTCCATTCTGCACCACACTGCACCAGTTAAGGGCCTGCTCACTGCCGGTACACTCCCCCACTCATCCTGGTTTATTGGCTCATCATTTGTGCTTCCAAGCAAACTGCTCTGAGGTGATGATTTTGACATAATCAGACAGCAGCAGTTGATTGACCAACAGAGCTACGTTGCTGGATGACCCGCACAGCAAAACTTCAAACTACATCTGAACCACGTTTCCTCTCTGATCGTGTTAAATGTGTCTTGTTTTTGCTAGTTTCTGGTATGGAATCTCCAAAAATAGTTTAGTGGAGGGCAGCAAGGCGGTGCAGTTGGTAGAGCGAGCAGGTCGCCCTGGTTCAAATCCCGGCCTGGGGGGCTTTCTGGGTGGAATTTGCATGTTCTCTCTGTGCATGCATGGGTTGTCTCCGAGTACTCAGGTTTCTTCCCACAGACCAAAAACATGCATGTTAGTCTGATTGGTAACTCTAAATTGCCCCTAGGTGTGAGTGAGAGAGTGAACAGTTGTTTGTCTCATTTGTCTCTATGTGGCCATGCAATGGACCTGTCCAGGGTGTACCCCGCCTCTCGCACAGCTGGATATGGGCACCGGAGACCCCCCCCCCCCTACAACCTGAAAAGGAAGAAGCAGGTAAAGATAATGGATGGATGGATGAATGGATGGATGGATAGTGCAGTGGACCATTGCTTAAGTACAGACCTTTTGAACTTTACTGGCTGATGTTAGGATTCAGCATGAGCTGGACGCTGTCTCAATAAATCAACACATTTACAGAGAGATATCAGAGATGATGGTGCAGCATGGCTACATCCAGACTTATAAGCAGTGCCAGGATAAGCTAAAGAAATTGAAATCCAATTGTAGGGTGATCAAGTACCACAATGGGCTGAGTGGCTTGAACACAACGACCTGTTAAAATACCACGCACTTAGCATTGACGATCCCGCCCACAGGGTGGGGAAACAAGTCACAGTGAGCAAACCACTACACCTGAGAAGAACCGATAAGATGAGTCGAGTGGAGTCACACCTAGATCTATCTACCTGGATCATTGAGCATACATCAGGAGTATATGGTAACTTGATTTGTCAGAGAAAGCACAAGTTAGCCTGGTGTTGCCCTGGTGGTAAATCAATGGTAGTCAATACATAGAAGCTGCAGGAGGGGAAACAAACTCCTTGTCATATTTCTTTGACAACATTTCACTCAAAGCCGTCACTGCATGCTGACTGTTGGAGTTGGCACAAATCAGCGGTGAGGAGCTGCAATGATGAATGATGCTGCGATATCACTCAGCAGTGAGTTTTGCACATGCAGAAAGCAACAGCTATGTGACAGAACTTGCTTCAAGCCTTCTGATCACTTCAGCTGACTCTTCTCTGATCCTGGATCCCGTCGACAGAAGTAAGGGACTACCTCAATTTTTAACAGACCAAGCTTGATACTGAAAACATTTTAACTAACCTCTCTGGCTGTCTAAAGCAATTGAGATCACACGGTGCTACTGAGACAAACAGACAGCGAGGTGTAATGACATGACATTTCTTAATAAGCTGCACATTTCATACATAGCTTCCATACTGACATTTTACATTCCAGGTAAAAATAAATTTAATTTTGCAATGCAAATTTTGAGAATTGTGTCAAAAGCTCATCTTGAGGTATTGGATACTATTAAACCAACTTAATAGCTCATAAACTGAACTTCATTAATTCAACTTTGAGGAAATCTATAAACAAAAGTTGTCCATAAACTCCTGAAAAACATCTGATTTCCCAACAAGCCTGCTCACATGTTATTTCCTGCCTGATGCCTAATGCAGGATAAACAGCGCGTGGTGGATTTAACAGAGACCATTTTAGAGAAAACCGTTGCCTGCAGGGACTACTAAGAGTATCTCAGAGTCAGGCTGAGACTGTTGAACATATTTACAGACAATGAAGCCTTAACAGCGTGCTTAAAGGTTAACTCTTCTGTAACAATTCAATATAATCCTCCTTCATGTTAGGTCTACGCACTTTTTTATCTTAGGCAGGTTTTTTATTTTTTTTATATTTCTGTATCAAGTTATAATTATGATGGCAATTCTCAAAAATAAAAGGCACTACATGAAAACAATGAAAACAACTTTGAACTGTAAATTAAGTGGATATTTCAATGGTCAAGTTTCTTTGCATGGCTTCATATAACATATTTAATGAGGATTCATTTAGTTAGTGTTGGTACAATCGGATTGACTATACAGTGCAACATTAAACATAGGCAGCTCACAGTGGAGGTAATTAGCTGTGGTGGTCCACAGACAGCTCCTCAGTTAATTATGAGAAGGAAATGGAAAATAATAGCTATTTATCTGCTTAATTTAAGACAGAAAAACAAGATTATATAGCTACACTGTTAGATGATTGTTGCTTATTAGGATTGGAAATGTCACCTTGTGCTGTTTGGAGTCACCCAACATGACTTCTTGTAGAAGCTTCGTACAAAGTGAAACACTGCTGTTCCTGTCCGAAACATGGTTCCGCAACTTGAGGTCCTGCCTGTCTGGTGAGAGGCAGCGTGTGGGGACCATATCTGCTGGTGCAGCTCCCCCACTGGATAGAAGCTGCATGCAGGTGTTTGATGAAAGCTGTTTTTGTGATGCTTGGTTTGTCTTAGAAGAATCAGGATGATGTTCAGTTTGCTCATGTTGAGTTGCATCAGGAGGTCTGGGTGAAGCAGGAGAGGATGTTCTAGACTTTTGATAGTCGAACAAGTTGTTTCTCTTATCCTGTAGGAAATACAAGTCTGTCAATTGTTGTTAAAACTTAATGGTGTTTTTGTCCAATACAAATTATGTTTTTACCACAAAAATATAACAGTATAAAGACAAGCTATTGTCTGATTTCACATGGTATTGGTAAGTTAGCTTTAGATTAGCCTCATTTAAAACGATTCATAGAATTTAGTTTACCCTTGCTCATCTGTCAACCAATCAAATATAGAGGTAGCTCTCAATTCTCAGGCCTTAATGTTTGTTGCCTAACAATGAGGTTATATAAGACACTGCTTACTGTACATAAAGCAATGCATGATTCTTCTGAAAACTGAAGAAATGTGTGGCTGAAAAACACAATTTTCAATTCAAGAAGATATCCTTTACTGAGTATGGCAGCTGAATTCACAGCACAGAATTCAAATTATGACCCACTTTCACAGGAAAAGAAACTCTAAGAAAAAGTTCTCAAAAGACGTTATGCAAATCAGGTGACCACGTTAGAAGTTTACACCAACGTAAGCTCGTGCAGTTAGTGTAGTTGAAGCTAGCTGGGTTAATAAGACATTGGTGTGTGTTCTCTGGTTAAAAACATCCTGTAGTGTTTGTGGAGAAAGCACAAATGATAATTCTGAAGAGGTTGTGGAAAGTTTATCTCCATGTGCTGACAGTTCTCTGTCTATGTATAACTGGTAGCAGTAAAATCTAATGCAGCTGTTGTGAAACAAAGTAGACAACAGCTGCTGTCGTCCACTGAAGGAGCAAGCTGTACACTTCAGGGGTAATATTCAAACCTACACTGAATGAATGTTTTATAATAAAACAGAATTTCGGTGGAGCATCATTTTAATGCTAGTTTGCTCTATTGGTTCCAAACCATCACCAGTTTATTATTCTAACTCGATGAATATGTGTATCAAATTAATTTATATTTTAAGAAAACATGATTTCAAAGAAGTGAGTAATGCCAACTTAAAATTAATAATTATGTAATTATGTTCTCACTTTTGATGTTTTTTGCTACTGTACTATAAAACAGAAAAAAAAAAAATCAGTTGTTGGATTTGTATAGCCTGACTGAATGCCAATATATATACACATTTAGAAGATTCATGGTATGGACTTTATTTTTTTCACAAACTACATTGTCCATGTAACCTCACCCTTCTGCGTTTTCTTCTCTTTCATCTCATGGCTTTATTTTGGGGTGAAGGGTTATCATAAGCCCCTGGAGGCTTTTAGCTCACCAGCTCTCTGGATTATTTGTTCCCTCTTCTCTTTCTTTGCTTTATCATTTTCATAAATTCAGGTGAATAAACAATGAATTACATGTATTATTGAAAGGACGGAGTATGGGTGTGGCTGTGAGCAAGAATGTGTATCACTGAGATACTGCACAGTCAACCGCTTTTCTTTTTTCTTGCATTAAAACAATTGTTTTCATCTGAAAATATAACAAACTTTACCTTGCTCTGTTGTTTTTGATAAATTTCAAAGTGTTTCGGATACTCAAAGTTCATTGCTTTGTTCTGCTTTTAATATTTCTCTCTGTTTAGGAGCAAATGTCTGCTTAAGAGAACTGTGCAAATCTGATGCAACGCTCTGAAAGATAATAATGCTTCAACTTCAAAAAGTAGCATCCTGTAATAAATAAAAAATAATAATAAATAAATGAAAATCAGGCTGATTGGTGTTGGATGGGTAACTAAACACAAATAAGCTGTAACACTTTTTGCAGTGTGTCAGAACACAGCAGCTCAGCAAGCTAAAGCTTCCATTGTGTGCTGAATCTTTCAAACATTGTTGATGCTAACATGAGGCTTTCCACAGCCAACAGTTGGTGTGGAATGACTAACTTAGATGAAGCTGAGCGCGCAGGGACAAGCATGGTCACTATTTGTGCTTTCAGCTGCTCAGACATCCAATCTAGTTATAATGTTTAAAGTGCATGCTTATAGGAAGGTTAGTTCTCACATTTTACACATTGAGCTGTAGTACGTCACTTTTTATTCTTCTTGAGCTCTTGTCAATCAGCTAACAAAAGCCTGGGTTGTGACTTGAGCTAAAAAAAAATCTAAAGAAGACAAGCACAAGTGCACGTCTGCTCTCACAGACTCATGTTCAGGCTGCTGTTGTTACGCCGTGTTGTTTTGCATTATTGGTGTTGGCATGTATCTTGGATCTTTTGGTGTGTTGTTTGGCATTCGTTTGCCGTACATCTTAGTGTATGTCTTGGATACTTATATAACGTTTCTTTTTACACTTTATATTTTTGCTATTGCTGGATGTAACTGAAATCTTGTGTACATAATTTCGTCCCACCTCATGTACCACATGGGTGAGAACGATAAACCTATTTGAACTTGAACTACACAATAAATCAGGAAATAAAAAAGTATTGATGAAAACCAATTCAAAAAATGGTCTAAAATAGTAACAAACAAAACAAGAGAAAAAAAAATCAAAGGATAATAGAACAAAATCAAAACAAAACAAACAACAAAAAAAACCTAGCATAATTAAAACAAAAATATCAACTTAAAGAAACAAAGATACAAAGATCTCCTCTGTGGCCTACACTGCTCTCACCCACTTGGAGCAGAAGGACTCCTACGTCCTTATGCTATTTGTAGACTTCACATCTGCATTCAACACCATGATTCCCCAGACCCTGATGGACAAACTAATCACTCTAGGACTAAGTCATTCTCTATAGAATTGGGTCCTAGACTTCTTAACCAACAGACCATAGTCTGTGAGGATCCACAACTTCTCCTCCACCATAACCCTCAGCACTGGCTCCCCCCAGGGCTGTATATTGTGTCCCCTCCTGTTCACTATGCTAACATATGACTATGCACTGACCCTTCCAGGCTGTCATATTGTAAAGTTTACAGATGATACAGCGGTGGTTTGATGCATCAAAAACAATGATGAGTCCAGCTACAGGCAGGAGGTGGAACACCTGGGAGATGGTGCAGGAAGAACAACCTTCACATCAATGTGAAGAAGAAGATGGCTGTGGACTTCAGATGGTATAAACACACCTACACCCCCCCCCCCCCCCACACACACACACACACACACACACACACACCTCGAACATGGGAGGATCTGCGGTGGAAGTGGTCTCCAGCTACAAGTACTTGGGTGTGCACCTGAATGACAACCTCAGCTGGGGAAATAACACTACCAGCCTGATCAAGAAACTCATCAACTCATCAGAGACTCTACTTCCTCAGACGGCTGAGGCGAGCTGGACTGGGAAGCTCAGTTCTCACCACCTTTTACAGGTGTGCATTGAAGAGCATCCTGTGCTCCAGCATCAATGTGTGGCATGATGGCTGCACAGCTGCAGAAATAAAAGCTTTGCAGAGAGTGGTGAAGGCTTCACAGAACTCTGCTGGAGTCAGCCTCCCCACCATCACAGACATCTACACCTCCAGATGCAGGAAGAGGGCCACCTGCATCATGAAGGACCCGACTTACCCAGCACACACACTTTTTGTCCCGCTCCCCTCAGGCAGAAGGTTGATGAGCATCAAGTGCAGAACCAATAGACTGAGGAACAGCCTATATCCTGAAGCTGTTAGACTCATGAGTCCCTAGTCAGGATTATCACTGTGAAAATTACTGTGAAAAAGTCACTGTAATGCCACTTGGCTGTTGATATGTGCTGCTGACTATCAATGATGCTGATCTCATACTTTATTTCATGTTGCTGTGTTCATTCATCCTCATCTGCTCACACAGACTCATGTTTGTGCTGCTGTTGTTTGACACATTGTTTTGTAATATTAGTGCTTAGTGTATTCTTAGTTTAGCATATTTCTTATTTCATGTCTTGTATCTTACTACTGTTTTCCTTTACAATTTGTAATTTTGTTGGATGCAACTGGGACCCTGTGTACAGTTTCATTCCACCTCATGTACCACATGTGATGTGAATGACAATAAAGAACCTTGAATCATTGAAAACCTAAGATGGAAACCCATAAACAAGACACACTGTAAAAAAAACCAAGGGACTTTATTTTAGTTCCTCAGGGTTCAGTGCTTGGACCAATACTATTGACCTTGTATATGCTTCCATTAGGTAAAGTTATTAAATAGAATGGGATACATTTTCATTGTTATGCTGATGATACACATATTTGTCCATGAAACCCAATTAATCCAATCAGCTACTTAAACTACAAGCATGTCTTAAAGACATAAAAACCTGGATGACCCTAATTTTTCTGCTTTCAAACACAGACAAAACTGAGGTTTTGATTTTTGGACCTGAGCATCTTAGGAATACATGTTTCAGTCTTTCACTTCCTCTGGATGGAATTAATTTGACCTCCAGTTCTAAAGTAAAAAAAAAAACTTGGTGTTATTTTTGATCAGGATATGTCTTTTAACCCCCCACTTTAAAAACATTACTAGAACCTCCTTCTGCATAATATCACTGAAATTGGAAACATCTTATCTAAAAATGATGTAGAAAAACTGTTTCATGCTTTTATCACGTCTAGACTGGACTATTGCAATGGTTTATTATCTAGGTGTCCAAAAACGTCTTTAAAAAGTCTTCAGTTGATCCAAAATGCTGCTGCCAGAGTTTTAATGAGAGTAGGAGAGATCATATCTCTCCAGTTTGAGCTTCTCTCCATTGGCTCCCTGCCAAATTCAATTCAATTCAAAAATACTACAAATTCAATAATAAAAAAAAATATTCAGAGTATAATTCAAAATCTTTTTTCTAACCTACAAAGCCCTCAACAACCTAGCTCCATCTTACATTACAGATCTTACTGTTCCATATTTTACTAACAGAGCACTTCGTTCTCAGACTGCAGGTTTACTTGCAGTTCTTAGAGTTTCCAGGAGCAGAATGGGAGGAAGATCTTTCAGTTATCAGGCTCCTCTCTTGTGGAACCAACTTCCAGTTTATGTCCATAAGGCTGACACATTAGCTATGTTTACATACGCAAACTTTTTTGACCGTATTGAAATGTTTTCAGATTAAGTAATTCAAGTGTATCGTTTACATGGGCATAATCTGTTCATGACAAGCGTTTACATGCAGCGAGCTTTTATTCTGAACAGTACTGACATGCGCAGAGTGGTAAACTCTCCTTAAAAAAAACACACAGAAGAAGAAGTTCTACTTCCGGTTTATTTCCGGGATGAATGTAAACAAACCTGAGCACCCAAAATGGACCCGCGACAGGTTTTAATGGCGGTAGAGACGGTACTGCACTCCCTGACTGAGCTACAGGTAATACAGATCATTTTGAGCTCTCTCAAAGTTTGTAGTAGAAATGTTTGTCGCTCACCGACCAGTTTTGCTTCCCCGACATGCTAATATTATTAGCCTTACCCAGGCGGAAATGACATGTACATGTGCAGTCAGGTCAGTTTATCACCATCAGATAAAAACGAACAGATCAAGTGTTTACATACGCACAGTTCGGGTTATGAATCGGCGTAAACCACCCGTTTCATTCTGATCACAAATTATTTCGGAGCACGCTGAATAAACAAAAAATAACCAGAACAGGGTGTTTACATGACACGTTTTTATTCCGAACGGCCGTTTGATCTGGTTACTTATGTCCATGTAAACATAGCTACTGTCCAGTTTTAAGACTGGGCTTAAGACTTTCCTTTTTGATAAATCTTATAGTTAGGGTTGACTTGTTATTCTGCCATAGTTTAGACTACAGTACTGGAGGACAAATTGACCTAATTTCTTAAAATGAATTGTTACAAATGAATAATTTTCATTTGATATTATTTCTATCTTAACATGTGATTTTCGACCTGCCATTGTGTATCTGTTCCTACTTTCTGTTCCTCTCAAACCCTCGAAGCAGATAGCTGCTTGTCCAGATTCTGGTTTTCTTGAGGCTTCTTCTTCATGAGGGAGTTTTTCCTTTCCACTGTTGACTTTAAGCTTGCTCAAGATGAGAGTCTGCAATGAAGTTAAACTAAAAGCAGTCTAGTCTGCTCCTCAGAAAATTAATGTTATTAACTTACTTTTTATGAACATGATTGTATTTGTTCGGTGCCCTGAGATGACTTCTGTTGTGACTTGGCACTATATAAATAAACTGAATTGAATTGAATTTTAATACAGACATGTTGTGTGCTAGCTTTAACCTTTTTTTTATTTTGTGTCTACTGAATCAGCAAAAAGGCAAAAGACACAAACTGAACGTCTGTACCCTGGGAATTTGAGACACAGCGGGCTTTAATGCAACGCTATTACTCCACTACATTATTTCATGTAATGAAATGGTCCAGTTCTGTGTGTAGAAGTCGGTCTGAAGGTATTTTTCTGCTTTCCTTCATATCACCTTTCAGAGTGATAAGAAAACAATATTCTCCCGAGTTTACAGCAGAGTCTCTGTTCAGCAGGACATGAAGACACAAATCACAGTAGCTGCATTTACGTGACTTTCAGCAATTTAATATAAGAAATGTTTGCCTGCAGGCTTTTAAAAACTCACTTACTTGAATCTTTGTCATTATATAAGAATTAATTTAGCACATCTCATTATCTAACCGGTGTCTGTGCGGCTTGTTAAGTTTCAGTTTTACCAACAAACTTTCTAACTACTTCCTTCCCTTAAATAAGTCTTTAAAGAATGATATAAGTCCGGTTATCCCAGTGTCAGCAAATGTCTTTATATCCAAATCCTCCTGTGGCCCATTCACTGCTGCTTATCTAGCCAAACGGTGCAGCTCTGTGTGGCTACATATGGAGTCGCACAAGCAAGGCCAGGATGGCGCTTCCACCAACAGAGCAAAGTTGCTGACTATATTAGGAAAATAGTGAGTTGTTACTGTATATTTATGCTAGTCAACTATGTTAAATATGCATTTTACAAGTTTACAACAAAGCTGAAGGTGTGGTTAATTTGTGGTATTTGAGAAAAAAGTATATATTTTAAAGAAACTGTATTAAAATATCGATCAAACTTATTTAAAGTAAGCTATTAACATTTGTTGTTAGAATAACTCTCAGGTTGTAAAATTAAGGGGGGTTCAGAATATTTGTGATAATGAACAGATGTTAATTTTGTGCTAAACACGAAATAGATCGAGGAAAAAATAAATGCTTTTACTTCCTTTTGTCACTTGATTTAAAAAGAATAAGTTACATCTTATGAACTTACAACTCTTCCACAAAATTAAGCTGCAAACTTTGCCAATAATTATATTTGTTTAGACCTCTGATTTGAGGGAGTTAACTTGAAGGTGAATTATTTTCTGTTCCCTTAGTTTGTGTCATTTCATTATAAGGTGTTGCAATTTATTTTCACTCTCATCAGTTGTCATCAGTTCAATCCCCAGAGTGCTAATAAGCAGTCACCGCAAAGCACTGTGGTGTTTAAATATTAGGGTGGAAAACGAAATTAACTAACTGCACAGTAAGTTTTATAATGACTGATGTACTGCAGCAGCAGGGACTTTTTCGTTCAGACAGTCGAGTGTTCGGACACATTGTTCTTGTTTGTACTGATTGTCGTGGCAGGTTTTCTGCAAGAATAAATACATCAATAATAAAACAAAACAGTGGTGGATTTAGAAAAAAACAATATTGTATTTTTTTTTAAACCTGAGGCCGTACATGTGTACGGTGGAGTTCGTTTCTTTTGAAGTGCTCTTTTTTCCTTTTGAAGTGTTCCGATGAATCCAGCAAAGAGGCAACATGATCATTTGATTGCACAGAGAGAAAGATGCTCGCCTCTAACAACCTGTCTGCATGTGGGTGTGTAAGAGTGTTTGTGAGAGGGTGTGTGGGTGTGTAGAGAGAGCGTGCGCACAAGTATACCATGTGATTTCTCCCCACTTATAAAGCAAACACTTATACATGATGTTCTCTTCTTTTTTTTGTTCTTTTTAGCTTGTCTTTTTTATTATCATACAGTGATTATAATAAACAAGAGTAGCAGACAATTTGACTAAATGATGCAAAGTGACAGCTTGAAAAAGATTGTGCACTTTCCCCTGGTTTTGAATATAGAGATGAATTACTTCTCAAAGCGTACAGGTAATAAATTTGAATTCCAAAGTAAATGTCAACTCGGGACAGCGCTTCATGGAGAAAAAGGTTATACCTGCACTTTACAAAGGTCACTATAAAAAGATTCACTTATTTTGAAACAAACATGCTTTTATACTGTTTAACTTTGAACACTGAGATCATCCTGGTGGTTCTGAACTTCTTCATATCTTTGCCTAAACACAAAGTCAAAAATTTGGGTTACTAACCACTGAGATGTGCTAATAAAGTTTAAACACAGATTTTAAGCATTTGCATTTGTGTTTTAAACTGGATTTTGTTACTAAATTGTTAGATAGTAAGCATTATTTTACTGCCATTAATCTGATAAAGGCAAACTAATCAGAAGCATGACAAACTGAGACTCTGAATTATCAAATGTATTAAAAAGTTTTAAATAAGTAAAATAATTTACCTTTTTTTAAAAGATAGATCTTTATAACTTTGGTTCAACTGTTTAAATGTTCTACTCAGCATAAAGAATGCTGTTCTTTGTTACATTTACAGTATCATTACATTTAACAAAAAACTTTATTACATTTAGCGAAGAAGCCCTGAAGCTGTTGAATCCCATGAATCCCTAACCAGACTAATCACTGTAAAAAATAAAAAAATAAAAACTGTAATGCCAATTTAATTGATGATATGTGACTTATCTGTGCTGCTGATTATCCATACTGCTGATCTTATGCTGCTGATTAGCTCATGTTGCTGTGTTCATTCATCTGCTCACCACAGACTCATGTTCGGGCTGCTGTTATTACGTCTTATTGTTTTGCATTGTAGGTGTTTGGCGTATATCTTGGATCTTTTAGCGTGCTATTTGGTGTTTGTTTGGCATTTCTCTTGGTGAATATCTTGGAGCCTTGTTCACTATTCTTTTTGTACTTTATATTTCACTATTTTTGGAAATAACTGGAACCATGTGTACATAATTTTGTTCCACCTCATGTACCACAAGTGACGGAAATGACAATAAAGCTGACTTGAACTTGAACAAAAAACAGCTTTTGAATAAACCAAGTGACCTTTGAAGGTCTTTGCATTATGAAACACTCCATCCATCCATTATCTTTAACCACTTTACCCACTAACGGCAACAGCTTTACCAACCAAGCCTATGAAACACTCCACTCCAGAAAATAAAACACACTCCTTTCCTTTCTGACACTAATGGTTAAAGTAAAAAAAAAATAAATCTTAATTTTAATTTAAACTGAACTAAAGTAATCAATCAGAAGGTCTACTGAGGGAAAGCATTAGAATGACAGTTTGGAAAATAGTCCTCTATGTAGTGTAAGTTATATTTTCAAGATGTACTTTAAATGTGCATGAGTTCAGAGTACAGTGTGTGCCTCCACTGCTCCGCTACAGCAAACACACCTCATCACTTTCGCTGCCAATAAAGTCGTCTTCAGGCTGGGCATGATGCCGCCCTCTTCTGTTGCTCTGGACCTGATCATCTCCCATCTCCATCTTTTCCTGGTCACCTTGGTTTTGCCCTCGTTTGGGTGAGTGTGGCGGCGATGAAAAAGTGAACACCTCCTCTTGCAGAGTGAGCTGGGGCTCAGACTCCTCATTACTCTCCCAGCTGTTCCAAACCTGCAGGTCAGAAGACAAACCTGGCTCGAGCTGAGACTCTGCTGGTGTGGCAATGGCTCCGGGACTTCCTTTGGCAGGGCTGCAACTACGCTCACCTAAAAAAAAAAAAAAAAAAGTACATATATACATTTACTGTATGTAGATGGTAAAGTGAGATACAAACACATACAGGTAAGATGTTAAACAAAGGCCCATTAAGTATACTTTCACTAATTGTGGGCGTGTATATCCTTTTTATTCCTTTTATTGTTATTTTATTTTTTTAGGCTTTACTTGATAATCTTATTGTGCAAATATTTTAATAAATAAAAAACATACAAAAACTCCATGAGTCATCAATCATGTAATGACAACTTTATAAAAGATCTTTAAAAATACAGAAACATTTAGTCTCCAAGCAAACGTTATTGTAATCCTGCTTTAGCTTTTGTTTTTACACACTCGTGATCAAAAACAAGTCAACATCTAGGTGTTGTTCACTACATAGTCAAGAGGGTAAAAATAAACTAAAACAAAAGTTGCTGCAGCTTTGTGCGTACATATAAAAAACTGAATCTTTATTCTCCAAATTCAAAGACAGAAGCACCTAAATCTGAATGAGTGAGCACATTTGAACCTCTCGACAGTATAATCACTTCCTCTAATTGCCCACTGTGTGGCAAACCCTGGGCCCAGGAGATGTCCCTCTGACTTTTATTTAATGTGCCACATTACCATTAATGAACTAACTACTTTCCATCTGTGGGCAGGGCTGCACCAAAGGAACAGCTCACTGCTTGTAGAGAAACCTCCATAAATGAGCTCTCCGAACACATGCGCTCATTTCACAAGGACAATGTGTGTGCATGTGTGTATGTGGAGGGTAGCCACTGGGGGTGGGTTGCAGGTTGGATTCAGGAGGGTCGTGCAAGTGGCCCTGATGTGGGTTATGTAAAATTTAAAAGGGGTGAGGGGCAAAAAAAAATGTGGACGTGGCGCAGACTGAGGTGCATTAATTCATGCAATATTTTGAAGTGAACAAATTTATGAAAAATGTAAAGAGAAGGAAAAGGCATTTCTCTTAAGTATAGAGGAGCTGCTTGTTAAAATCAGAACATGCTAGGTAGATATCAAAATCACCCAGCCTGCATATCAATGTCTTTAATCCATGTTCCTTTCCCTTGCTGTCCTATTAAATTTTCTCAACTATCTATCCATCTAAAAGTGCACATTTATTCCTGCTTCCTTACCTGGAGTTCGATGTTCTGACTTTTCTGTTGAGGTCAGAGGCTGTGGTCTACTCTTCTGCTGACTGGATGGAAAGGTATACTTCTCCCTAACACTCGTCTTCCTCTGGACATCTAAATCATCTAGAGGAGCTTAACAAAAAAGTTAAAACTCATACCACTGTCCAAACAGAATAATAACACAACATCCTATTCTGTCACACTAAACAAAAGACTACATTTTGCTGAATATACAGGTTACCTGATGATGGTATCTTCTCTTTTCCTGCACTGATGACCCGTAGCTTCTTACATCCCTGCTTGCCGAAGCCTCCCTTTTGGGGCGGGTGTGGTTGTAATTTGAAAAATGCTCCTACAAATATTCAACATCAGAAAAGGTTTATAACAAAAAAAAGATTCAAACAATGTTGTTAAAGCCTGCCAGGAGCATATCCGTGAACTGATTATGCACCGTGAAAATCCCTAATAATGAAGGCATTTTGATAACTGAGCTACTTACATTCATTCATTGAAAAAAAAAAAGAATATATCCAGCTACTTTATGCTCAGCTGAATTAAGGAATTTTAATCATCCAGATTTCGCATTCAGTCATGCTGAAAGCAGGGTGTATTACCAATCATAAAAGCTGTTATTGGAGAGAACATACTGCATTGAAACCAGGCTCTTATTTTGCTGATTTGTTCCATCATAGGTAATGCTTTTATTAATACACAATGCTTGGAAGAGTAGGGAAAAAACAGAATTACTTCATGCATGACGATTCTGAGTCACAGGATACTTGCTGGCATTGATCCTAAGCCATATAAACACATATGTTCTTGGTTTTTAAGTTGATGTTTTTGCAGTATATCGCAACATTATAGGTTCTTGTTTCAAAAGCTTTAGTTCTAATATGTTTTCCTTTTCTGAGAAGGATTTCTTTATATCTTGTGTTAAACACATATCCAAGGTACAGTAAGAAAAATTTTGTTCCTTTCACACTTTGTACTATAGATATTGGAACATATACATTTCTTGAGTTCACATACACCTCGAGGCAAGTGAGAAGAAGCTGAGAGAAACAGACTTTAGTTTAAGTCATTTGACAAGGAAACAGTTAAATGAAAAAAGATAAACACAGAAATTGTGTTTGATAAACTAGCAGGATGAACAAGGGTGTGCTAAAATGATGAAAACATTCAGACTCCAAGAAAAACACATGCCAAATTACCCTCATGAGGAACATGGGAGCGCTGACCATGGGATAAATTTTCACCCATCTTGCTAATATTCTGACTCTGTGGAGTAATCTTCATATTCATTTTACTTGATGGGAAACCCTGTGGCACATAATCAAAGAAAAATATGAGTTCAGTGACTAAATATTGGGTTTGACTTTTTCTGTAATGGTAGAGAATTCACAGAGGCATCCACCAATCAGCCAAAACATACAAAACATATTTACAACAGCTGAGTATTGACAGTATAGACTTTTTTTGTATCTACTAAAGGTTGCCGACGGAAGGACAGTGTATCAACCAGCACTGATTAATTATATAGTATGCTTGGTAATTAAGAGCTGCATATACACCATCTGCTGAAAACATTTCTGCTGGCTACAAGAGAAATGTGTCAGAGTATCATTGCTGTATCTTGGGAGGCAGAGTCACTTAAGAACAAACAAGTGTCTGCAGTGACCTCAGTTCATTGCCAAAAGCACCTACAAAAGGCATGTCAGCCACCGAACTGCACCCTGAAGCAGCGGTAGAAGGTCGCCTGATCTGATGAATCACATTTTAACAAAGCTTAAAAGCGTGTGCATCATTTATCTGGGGAAGAGATTTCAGCAGAACAATTTATGTGAAGAAAACAAGGAGAATATGTTACCCTAAGCAATGTTTTGCTTGGGTCAAAACCATTATGTGGTTGTTTGATGGTTATTCCTTAACTAAATATCACACCAAACCACCACATAGCACAACCTTTCTATAATGCATACTTTTGTAAAAGAAATAGGTTTATTCTACTGTTTCTTTCTATTATTTTTAATATAAAACTGATCTAAATCATTTGAGCATGTCAAAGCACTCAAAGTGTAAACTTGGCCTCCAAGTTTTCCCGTGTGATTCAATATTTGAAAGATGGGCTGAAAACACAAAGAAGTCTAACCTATAGAGGCCCACTGTACATCATACATTACAAGATTTAAAGAAACTGCTGCTGATGGTGCTGTATACCTCCAGACATCTTCACAGGACTTCAGAAGTCCATGCCTCGAGGGTCAGATCGTGTAATGACAACATAAAATGTGGAACCTATACCGAGGTATGGTGTTTTGAATGTTGTAGCTGACCAGTTTGTCTTTCTGTCTTCTAGAATTAGTTAGATTACAGTAGTGTAAATAAAAACTACACTTCTCTCCAGTCTGTCTTTGGTTGTGCCGCTTTTACTTCCAGTTTGGGGAGATGGTGCTGAGGCTCTGGAGCCTGAGGCTGTGTGTAAGACACCCTGGGGCTTGGCTCTCCGATCTTTGGTTGATATGGCAGTGGGAGACTGATCAGGTACTGTAGAAAAAAAGAGAAAATTCCTCAACTCACTGGTGAACAGAACAGAATATTTAAAGTGAGTACGAAGCAGCATTTTGTCTAGCAACAGTATCTATTTCAGGGTCCTTTCCCCACTGTGAATGGAATGTAGAAAACATTAAAGAAGCCGTTTTATAGTTTATAGAGTGGCTCACTATTTTGTTTTACAAGCCAATCTCAACGCATGTAGTTTACTCATAAAAATATATATAAAAATGAAAAAAAATGGATCTAAATTTGATGCTACAAATGATCTGATAGTTGCTAGATTTTTTTCTAATCTAACAATCTGCTTCATTTTACCTTGTGAAAATAATAGGCTGAAGTGGGAGTTGCGATACGCGATCAATTTGACCTTGCTGTATGTGTGCCAGGGCTAATCAGGACCACCTCTGCTGAAGCTAACAGCAGAAATACACGTTCAGTCTGATCCTCATCAAAGCACTAAGCAAACGCTTCCACTCAGCGAGACAAACATGATCGACAACACGATACAGACAGAGATTAGTTGGAAGGAAAGAGGAAATCATATTTTTTGCGATACAACAGATGGAACACACTGAGATGTACCCCTGGAGTGAGCAAATTTCAGTGTGCTTTAAATCTGTCAAAAGCCCATAAAGATCGGGATAACAATAAGGATTACTATGAGATGTACGTTCAGTAGAAGCATTTTCTGTACGGATTTGAGTCTGTGAAAATTCATTGACCTTTAGAGCAAACAGAGAGTCTTTGATGCAGCACTGGGATAATGGGGGCTTGTTTGTTGCTCCATGACAAAAAAAAAAATCTGCAGAGTCCTTTTAACAGTTTCTGACAGACCAGGCTCTGAAGAAACAACATACACCAAACAACTTTGTCACAGTTAAATTGGATGCCTGCTTTAATAGCAATCATTTTAATTATGATTAGGTATGTTGTGCTAATAATGCAGATGCTAATTAGGAGGAGATATTTCTCATGTGTGGCTGTTGCTCTCTTCTAAGGGCATTGCTGCTTGATTCAACAAGACTTGGACAGCTGTCAGAACAAATAAATATTTGATGATAAAAAGGCCACAAAGGCAGCAGAACAGGATTATTGGTGCATGTCTTTTTTGTGTGTGGAGATAATTGCAGCTCCCTGAGTACAGGTGAGGCCCGAATGAGCACAAGAATAAAGATCATAGAAATTTAAAACGAGAAAAACAATGTATTTAATATAACAACAATGTTTTTGTCAAGAAAAATTACAAATATTGCCGTTTGGACAAAAAAAATGATGCACACTAAATGACCAAAAATATGTAGAAAATCAATCCAATTATGTAAAATCTTTAAAAATCAAAATATAGTCAATACATTAACATCTCACCTTCACTATATTGCAGCTTTAACAATCCCATTCCTACACAGAGGGCTCTCCTCACAGAAGGAATTTCATTCACTTGAGCAGTGGATGGGGTCAGGTAGCGATGCTAAAGATAAGACCAATTTCGCACTCGCCATGCCGGTTCACAGATAAAGTGTTCAATAGAGCTTAGGTTAAGTTTTGTGGTGGAAAAATAAGCTGCCTATCGAACCCACACCTGGTTTTGTGTGTGAGGGCAGTGTCAAGCTAAAACATAAAAGGACTGCAAGCTGCAAAGACAGCAGTCTAATACCACCGAATGAGAAAACAAAGCCCATTGCAAAAGCACACAAAAGTATGAAGTTCAAATTAAATGGCTTTCTTATATATATATATATATATATATATATATATATATATATATATAAAATCGTGTTAAATAACTCAGTTGCTTTGTTTAAATTACTTGCAGTTTTTTTTATTTTATTTTATAATATTATAAATCTTGATCCTTCTTCTTATACTTCTTGATCTATGAATCAGTGGTTTTCTGTTTACTTACCAGAGCCCGAGATGAAAGGATCAGACCTCATCTCTGCCTTCTGCAAATTCTCAATGCTCAACATGCGAGCAATTTGGTGCACATCAGGTGGGTACCGGAAACTTTGAGGGATCATGTCCACAAAAGTAGCTCCATCAAGAAACACATCTGCATAAAAAAAAAATGAAAACAATCTTGAAAGAATACTACAAAGTACAAAATGAACCACTATTTTGTCTAGTAAAATAAAACAACAATTTCTTAACTTTTTCACACAATTTACTACAAACACACAAAACTCAGAAAACTATGCTGAAAGCTGGGACCAAACAGCTTCACTTCAGTGAAAAGCAGTTAGCTCTAAAAGCATCGTGCATGTTGATGAGCTAGGGGTTAGCAAATAAAACTCTATAATTTGCATTTAAAAACTGAAGGCATTACCATCATGTGACATTTTTCCAGCATCTGTTTTCATAGTGAAGATTCTTCGGACTTTACAGGTAGCAAACAAAGTAATGCCATCCAGGGTCACATATCCCTTGAATAGTTTTCTGGTCCACGATACGAGGTCGATGCACAAAGTAGACCACTGAGACAACAAATTCAACTCATTTTTTTAGTCTACAATGATACAGCCTGAGTTTTACTTTTAAATGAGAAAATATGTAAGAAGCAAACAACCAAACGGTTTAAAAATTCTCTAAAAGGATGCAAAATGCATGAATTACAGTACATACTCACAGTATCACATTTCAAATCTGTGAAAGGTATCTTTGCATGCAATAATGTTGCAGACAACTCTTTATGCAGTGTTGAAAAGTGAAGCCTTCTTTTTAGATGCTCTGAATCTGTTATCCTGTAAATAGATAAAGAAGCACATAAATTACCAGCGGCAACTACACTGTCACTTAGATGTTCCAAATTGAGACAAATTGAATCTTTATTAGTCTCTAAGGTGAAGTCTGGAGTGCGTACTCACTTTTATATCATGCCATAAAATCAACTGTCACGATGCACTTTAGGAACTTTAATGGCAACGATAATTACCAGAATTTTGAAAAAAGATTAAAATAAGTTAAAAAAAATTGATATCTACAGAGGTCCATATTACCAGGAAATATGTACTTTGCAAGTTTTTTTTTTCTTCATTAAATAAAAGCAAAAAAATAAAAATAAAAAATAGATTCCTGAACTCACACAAGCTCAGTAGAAAAATCATGGCTCCGAGGAATATTCACTTGAAGGACCAAATACCTTTGGATAAGCCGGACTGGAACAAAACAGAAGAGGACTGAACTGCAATTAACTTGTTAAAAGGTAAATAAGTGCTACAGATGGATGCATGAAAGCTTGGTAGTGACTTACGAGACATTTTTGCATTCTCTGGCATTTGCATCTTGACTGTCTGGCTGCTTCCCTCCAAACAGTAAACAAATCCTTTAACTTCTTTATTATACTCCTAAGAGAGAACATAATTCAAAAGAGGGCCTTGCCGAGTCTAAGTCCTTGCAGGTTATGACTGGTATACCTGTTGTGTAAATGTCCCCGGGAGTGACAAATGGGTTTTATGGGAACAAATATATGAGGTTGGAACTATAAAATCTATGTGTCAAGATCAATTCAAGCTATAAAAAGTGTTTAGTTGGCAGTATTGCTTGGCATATTGTAATGAAGGTAAGAATATTTGTCAGTGTTGCATGAAAAAAGCAACTAACCTCCACAAAAAGTGGTTAGCAAACATCTGATTTGATTTATCGGTGTGTCACCATATGGCACTTATGTAGTAAACACAGTGTTACTGAGCTATTGGGTAACTTATTAGATGTTGTACGAATTGTTGTGGATGCTACAGTGGCTGGACTTAAAAGGACACATAAAGCTGTGAAAGTACAAGTAGCATTTCCCTAGTAAAGCTCACTTTATGTATAGCTGAGGTTCCTCCACAAAGTTTCCATTTAGCTACAGGGTCTTTTCCTTGTCCACTGAAGATGTCGAACACAGCTCCCCCCTGCAAAGACATCAAGCTAATAATTACATTTAATAAACTTATGCTGCAGCTTAATTGCGCCTCAAATAAAACGTGTTATAAGCAAAAAGCATGATTTTTCCAATGAAAAATGTTACAATTAAGCATAACTTGCACTTGCCTGGTAATCATTCTTGAACATTTTATGCAACGTCACGTCAAATGCGTCAGACCTGCCTAAAGTGACTAAAATGTTAGCTAGCAATAAATAAATAAGATGTTAGCTAGCCTGTTCCAAAAGTTCATACCGTATTATCCGAGATACTAACAACGCTCCATTTTGATATTCTAAATTCAATAAGAAAATAGCTTCACTGTGTGAAGCGCAGACAATATAAGTTTAGCTAGTACGCTCCAGCCTCTTCCTAATCACTCTGTTTAGCTAACGCGAGATGTGTTTCCATGGTAACCATCAAACACTCTGTCTAAACGGAAGTCTAAACACCTGTATCCTATTTCTAACAAATACAGAAAGTAATGTAATGTTGTAATGTTTTTAGCAATCATAACACAGCTGCAAGAAGTTAGAAAAATGTGGAAGTTTGTTTAAATCATATGTAAATCATAAATAGATGATTGCAAATACCAAAAAGTGTTTGTTTTCCTATTCATTACTTATACTACTCCCTGTCTGAAAGTTAGCTAAAGTACCCAAAACATAAAATTAAAACCAACATGACAATATGCTGTGTAATTTAATTAAGTATATCCATGGCCATATTTAAAATTAAATGATTAAAAAAATGTATAACGTGATAATTTGTAATGTTTAACAGGGACTTGTATTAAAGGCCTAACATTTCTTAAAGGCATATCACCCACCACTTTTCATGACTGAGCTTTAGACTGAGATCATGTTTGGAGCTGCTTTGGTCAAACCGTATTATTGTAATGCAAAATCTCAAGCAAAATATCTGAAACTAAAATAATTATTTTCTAATATTAGCTGACTCTGGCAATCAAATGGAACTGGACTGACTCCAAGGGTAGTGAGTACATTCAATGATTATTTACTAATCTATCCAGAGGTTTGTGAAATATTCTGCTAACCGACGAACAGATGTGGTTAATTTTTAAACAAAGATCTTGCTCAAACTGTTATTGTTCAGAGTATGTGTTGTATCAGTCACATCAAATTTTAGCATGTTATCTTTAAAACTGATAGAGGTAGAGATGTTTTATGTACTGGTTTTAACTTAACAAGGGACTGAAATAATTTGCATTTCAGTACATTGTCTTGGTATA